GAAAGACACCCGCCACATACAGGTGCATCTTATTCACACACACACACACACACACACACACACACACACACACACACGCGCACACACACACACACACACACACACACACACACACACACACACACACACACACACATGTTCACAGAGTAGGTTAGGCAGGCAGATCTGAAGCAGTCATTGATTTGTTCGTCTCCTCCCCTGCGTTTAAGAGCACAAAGGCTTGAATAGGGCCAGATCTGCCGCTATTGCCCTCCTGAGGGCCACAGATGGGCTCCTGCGTGTCCAGAACTCCTCCAGCGGGACACACAACAGCTGGATGACCATCAGACAACACTAATCTGAGCGTGACCTGCGCACACGCATTAACACGCCATTAGCAAACATTGCAGAACGCTTTACGCACTCAGGAGATCCAGAAAAATAAAACTCTGCATGCATCAGCTGTCAGAATTCAACAGTTTATTGTGTTGCAACTAATATTTTGATTTTTGGATATTTTTATTTTAGGGGAATTATTTCAAACAATAATTTTTATTGTTTAAACAAACAATTTTTTCTCCCTCTTCTCCTTCCTTTTGTTTGTTGATTTTTTAGTTAGTTATTTAGTTAATTAATTAGTTAGTTAGTTAGTTAGTTAGTTAGTTATTTAATTTTTGTTTTTTATTAATTCCGAGCAATCGCTTCCATTTTTGACAGTGATTTACATATCACACCTAATGAATGAATTAATTAATTATTTATATATTGAAATTTGTTTTTATTTTTCATTTCTTTTTATTAATTAATTAATTAATTTTTATTTATTTATTTATTTTATTGTATATTTGTATTTATTTATTTATTTATTTTTCATTTATTTTTAGTAATTTATTATTTTTTATTTATCCATCATATATTGTATTAATTTATTAGTTTTTAATTTATTTTATTTATTTATTATATATTTGTTGTAATTTATTTTTATTTGTTTATTTTATATTTGTATTTGTTTATTTTATTTTGTTTATTTATTATTTATTTGTATTTATTTTATTTTTTTGTTTATTTTATTTATTTATTTATCAACAAATTTCTTAGACTTTTTTAAATTTATGACAATGATTTACATATCACACCCAATACATTTATTTATTTATTTACTTTTTTTTTATTCTCAGCAAAAACTGGACTGCTAGACTTTTTGATTATGATTTACAAATGAAACCTCTTAAAATGAATTTATCTATAAATTTATTTATTTATAATTTTTTTTATTCATATATTTTTTCATTCATTCATTCATCCATGCATGCTCAGCTAAAACTGGACTGCCAAACATTTTGACCAGAGGTGCCCAAACCTTTTTATGTAAAGTGCCAAAAACCAAATATCTTTATGAGCTGTGAGGCTTGATTTGATTACCAAAGTTTTTAATTCATTTATTTTTTTCATTCATTCATTTATTCATTCATTCATTCATTCATTCATTCATTCATTCATTCATTCATTCATTCATTTATTTATTCGTTCATTTAATCATTTATTAATTTATTTATTTATTTCATGTTTAGTTTGTGTTTATTTTTTTATTTATTTGTGTCATTTATTTATTCATTTTATTCATTCATTCATTTATGTATTCATTTATTCATTTATTCATTCGTCCATTTAATCATTTATTTATTTATTTATTTAATGTTTAGTTTGTGTTTATTTTTTTATTTATTTGTGTCATTTATTTATTCATTTTATTCATTCATTCATTTATTCATTTATTTATTCATTTATTCATT